ATTTGGTTTTGGCTTGTTGATATAATATATATCATGAGAATGAAGTGCATACACATTGTGAAATAATTAGTTAAGATTCGATATATCTCTATATTGGAAAAAAATATAAAAAGATAAATTTTAATTCAAAAATTCATACAAGTATTTCAAATTTTTAATTAAATAAGAATACAATGAATTTCTACAAAGAAATGCAAGTATGAATGCACCAGGTCATCAAGCCTGCCATGCATTGTCGTCTCCCATGGCAACCTTTCCCACATCTCATTACCTCCTCCCATCATCAACATGATTCTCTCAATAAAATGCTTCACAATCCTTCAGGTTTTCATCATTCTCTTTTATTTCCTCTTGAATCTCTAACATGTTATCTTTTAGATTTTACATTTTCTCGTGTAGTTCATCTTGATGGGAAGCTTTTGGTCTTTATTCTTTCAATTCCTTAAGATCAAGCGTGTAATTTGAACTCTAATTGAAAGGATAATAATACATAAATAGAAGTTAAAAATGATATTCATTCATATATTTGAGTAAGAGAAAATAGCATTAAAAATAACAATTATCAAAGTAAATGAATCAAAATTTTAACAGTATTATAAATAATATATAATTATAAAGATTATATAAACTAACAAAGGTTGCACTTTTGACATTGTTACTAAAAACTTTTTCTTTCAGGTTTATCTACTAGATAAATAGAAAGATTTGACCATTTAATCTTAAATTATAACTTAGGTTAATTGTTGGGTGAAGACCCAAGAAATTATATATAATATATATAAAATTAAAACTCTTACCTATAGGTTTTATTCTCTGGCAAGAAAAAGGTATACCAGTTACAAGGCACCCACCTTTTGACATTAATGTTGTCATAATTGGTGGTGCAATCGATCCTGCATTGACCGGTGAGAGTTAGGCAACAGTTTGCCTAATCTCATATCATTACTATAATATTATTAAATATAAATTTAACTCTCACACCACCTGTTTTGTTCTTGGAAAGAGACCAACTCCTTGTTTAACATTATTAAGTCCTCTTAACCAATTATTATCCCCACTAAATATGCTTGCGGGAGGCACTTAGCTAAAGACGTGTCACGTGCACAGGACAACCACTCCTTAGTCTCGAAAAGAGTGCCCACTTATCAATACTTGAATCCGGGTCTAGCACCTTCCACCGTTAAGAGTAAATTTGAAGAATGTTACAGTGAGAAAATCGTACAAGGTAATTCTGCCCAAAAGAATTGAAAAGAGGGAACAATGTAAGGTAATGGAAGGTTACTTGTAAGTTGTGAGAAGACGGTGGAGAAAGACGAGCATCATAGCTTTGGCCATGTTCATCCCCAGGCAAGTCCTTGTTCCCATTCCAAATGCTAGGAAGCTGTATGGCTTAGATTTATCCTGCGTGCAAAGAAAGATAACACAATCTCCCATAACTTCTCTTTGATTCTTTGCATTTATTCTCATTGAGAAATATAAACCGAGACTTACATCGAACCTTGAAGGATCGAAACTGTTGGGTTCACTGTAGACCATTGGATCAAGGTGTATTGATGTAACATCAATGTTGACAGTCCATCCTTTCTTCATCTTGTATCCTTAAGAAAAAAGAAAGAACAGAATAAATGTACGGAGAGAAAGAAAAATTTATTGCTGTATAGGATAAGAGTTGCTTTTCTGGTGCTAGAAAAGGAACCTTTAATCTCACAATCTTGAAGTACAAGTCTTGGAAACCATGGTACAACAGATGCCATTCTCAGTGATTCTTAACCACCTGTTGATGAAGCGTGTTCCTGGAGTTCAGAAAACTTAAACAACCCTTCAAGGTTTTTAATGCATTGGTTGAGTTTGTTTACCTTAGAACCATAGGGCATTTCGTTAAGATCATCCAGGGTAAGAAATAACTTTTTCAAAGATTTTTCCCAAGAGGTGAAGCTGCTCAGCCTGCTCTAGTCATTACAAGGAAATGCAGAGAAAAATAAATTAAATTATTGGGAATGTGAGTTAGATTGTCACGCAAAAGAAATTTCTTTGTCCACCAACCTTAATTGCATCAAGGACATCCTCATTCTCCTCCAGATACTTGACCATCCAAGTGATTGCACTTACATAATTGGATGATTGATTCTACTCTTACATAATTGGATTTAATATCTAAAAAAATTTCAATTTGAGATATTTTAAAAATAACAAAGGGATAATAAAATTACCATCTTAACCAAACATTAAATGTCTAAATTTTAAAAAAAATACATAAAACGAGCCCTACCCTATCTCCAATTCGCCATAATTAGTCATTTGATGCATTGATTGATTAAATCGTTTCTTTGCCTACCCTTTTATAAAAATGAATAAGAAAGTTTGAAAATCAATCTCAATCAAATCTTAATTAGTCTATTTTCATGCTTCTAAACTTTTCTCACAAAATCAAAACTAATTACGTCATTTTGTTATTGAATTAAAAATCTTTGTATCTATCACAAATGTTGCAATCATTTTACTTACGAAAAACGTTATCGATAAAATTTTTTAACATAATTTTAAACAAT